TTGCTGGTCTGGTTCTGTCCGTTGAGGGTTTACCGAGTCTTATTGCATCCTTTACTTGTGTATTCTCTATGCCTATTAGCTGGAAAAGATGTATCAAATTTCCTATATCTTCTCTTTTCCTATCAGCTGAAGTTTCTTTGTCCGATTCAGGGAGGTTGAAAGCCATGAGATCCATTTCCCTCAATCTATTTCCTATGACTTCATCCATATCTTTTTTTATGTTGCCGATTATGTCCCCTTTCATCCCTTGGACAGCTCCCGACACCCTAGTAGGAATTTCCTTTTCCACTTTGTTCACTTTATCTTCAAGTTTGTCAAGTCTCTGTCCTGTACTTTTCTTTACGTCTTTTAAAGATTTCTCCATGGAACTGAAGCGTGGGAAATTCATGTTACATATGTTACAGATCCATTTGAAGTTTTTCAGAAGCCCAGTGTCGACCAACGTATAGAGTTCTTTTGGATATTTACTACAGGGCCAGCAGTACCAGCAGTCGCATATTTCACACTGTGTAGCTTGGGTATTCTCATCAATTTCCTTCTCACATATCGGGCATTTACAGATGACATCGCTGCAGTCTTGTCGTAGCCTTTTCTTAGATTTGGGTGGACGCCCAATGTTTCCATCTCGCTTCACGAAGGTTGCAGAGTCAAGACTGGTCAGTTGATTTGTTCTCTTTTCTGCTCTCACACTCCTGTTTCCACTCATTTTTATTGTAGGTTTCGTTTTATCCTTCAATTTATAATGCCGATGTTCGCCACCTGTGTGGCTAGTAGCAAAGAACAAACTCTGGTATATCTGTTTCACTAAATACAACAAAGTCCTGCTTTTATGTAGAAATCCTTTCCTCGCTCTTTTTTATTGTACCTAAGCCATATGTGACCATTCTCATCCTTTGCTGTGAGGTCGCACGTCCCTGTCCACAGGTAGATCACTATCTTTTGAGTTCTTTTTATATTTCCATTTCGTAGTTTTGTAGTAGTATTGATATGGATCGGGCAGGAACGGGCGACGATTAACAGGAACGGGGCTGGATAGGACTTATTTATATCTGTTTATTGTATAGATTTAATTATCCTTATCGGGTATAATGTATATTTGATAAAAGAATTGCATGATCGGGGCAGAAGTCTTGCTCAGGCGACCTAAAGTTGTCCAAAGTGAGGTAGTCACTGGCCCAACAAAACTAGATTGGGCGACTGTTGAAAAAAAATATGAATAAAGTAAATTATAGTCCCTTCCATATTAACTGTGGGGCAGTACATTTTTCAGTTGTCATTGCTTCGATTTGGATCGAACCGTCCGTGATTTAGAAAAAGTGATGATTTTTTTCCAGATTTTCTATATAAATACGGCCAGGGTGTCTTCCTTGAGGTGCGAGTTTTGTGTATTTCTTTGAGAAACATGTCAGGTTTTAAGGTAATAGGATTGTGTCGCCATTTCTAAGTAGAATTTCTTCACATTTTGTATTTATATTGCTTTGAAGTAAAGAAAATTTTCTGCCGCAATTTTTTTTAAGGATTTTAAATGGAAATTTATGTAAAAGAAGTGAATTTTGAAAAAAACAACAATATTTTTTTGCAAAATAATGTCAATAAAAATGATGCTGACATAGATTAGTATTGCATTAATGTATATCAATTACATAAATGCTGAAATTGTGTAAAATTAATAAATGGACATTTTATAATAAAACCATATACACATAGTAATTGCATGTAAGAGTTATCGTTCTTGAAAAACTTCACAGTATTGAAATAGGTATCCGGTTTGCTGAAGTACAGAACAAGAGGCCCAGAGGACTGTATCGCTCACCTGTTTCTTTTGTTACATGCAACTGACATATAGGTAACTTAAGACCAAATTTGGTAATTAGAACACAAGACATTTTAATATCTCTTAACGGTTCTGAAGATATTGTTGTTTGAAACTTGAAATTTTAATGTTAAAGCTTTTAACTCATATTGACATTTGACTCCCGACTTGCACTTAAAGTTGATCTTTGACCTCATAACTGCAATAAAGAAAACAATTCACACAGCTGGTCTACATAACATACCCAAGTATCATGACTATAGTCCAAATGGTTCTTAGGATATTGTTGTTTGAAGTTTTTAACATAATTGACACCAGTGACCTTGGAAGTAGGTCAAGGTCATTTTAATGAGGAAAATTTATAACACTTCATCCCAGGTACCTACCGGCCAAATATCATGACCCTGAGCCTTATGGAAATTGAAAAGAAGATTGTTAAAGCCTTTGACTCATGTTGACCTTTGACCCCAACTTGCACTTAAAGTTGACCTTTGACATCATTACTGTAATTGAGAAAAAGATTTGCGCTGATGGTCTACATAACATACCCAAGTATCATGACTCTAGTCCAAATGGTTCTTAGGATATTGTTGTTTGAAGTTTTCAACATATTCAACCCCAGTGACCTTGAAAGTAGGTCAAGGTCATTTTAATGAGGAAACTTTATAGCACTCCATCCCAGGTACCTACTGGCTAAATATCATGACCCTGGACCTTATGGAACTTGAGAAGAAGATTGATAAAGCTTTTAATCAGAGTTGACATTTGACCCCCGACTAGCATTCAAAGTTGACCTTTGACCTCATAACTGTAAATGAGAAAAATATTCGCACTGCTGGTCTTCATAACATACCCAAGTATCATGACTCTGGTCCAAATGGCTCTTAGGATATTGTTTGAAGTTTTTAACATATTTAACCGCTGTGACCTTGAAAGTAGGTCAAGGTCATTTTAATGAGGAAACTTTATAGCACTCCATCCCAGCTACCTACTGGCCAAATATCATGACCTTGGGCCTTATGGAACTTGAGAAGAAGATTGTTAAAGATTTTAATCAAAGTTGACATTTGAACCCCCCACTAGCATTTAAAGTTGACCTTTGACCTCATAACTGTAACTGAGAGAAATATTCGCACTGCTGGTCTTCATAACATACCCAAGTATAATGACTCTAGTTCAAATGGTTCTTAGGAAATTGTTGTTTGAAAATTTTCATATATTTGACCGCTGTGACCTTGAAAGTAGGTCAAGGTCATTTTAATGAGGAAACTTTATAGCACTCCTTCCCAGCTACCTACTGGCAAAAAATCATGACCCTGGGCCTTATGGAACTTGAGAAGAAGATTATTAAAGATTTTAATCAAAGTTGACATTTGAACCTCCCACTAGCATTTAAAGTTGACCTTTGACCTTATAACTGTAACGAGAAAAATATTCGCACTGCTGGTCTACATAATATACCCAAGTATCATGACTCTAGTCCAAATGGTTCTTAGGAAATTGTTGTTTGAAAATGTTCACATATTTGACCGCTGTGACCTTGAAAGTAGGTCAAGGTCATTTTAATGAGGAAACTTTATAGCACTCCATCCCAGGTACCTACTGGCCAAATATCATGACTCTAGGTCCTACAGTTCTTCAGAAGAAGTAGTTCAAAAGAAAAAGTTGACGGACGGACGCTGGACGCCGGATGCCGCAGTACGGCATAAGCTCACATGGCCCTTCGGGCCAGGTGAGCTTAAAATGGACACATGATTAAAAAAAAACTGAATTAATGCCTGGATTGCTTTTAAATACTTTGATATTGAAAGAGAATAATAACTGTTCTGTCAATAATAAACATACAATATTCATCAGTTTAATATTAAACACTAGAATATGCGGAAATTGTGATACTGTCTCCCTACATTGGATTTTCAACTAGGGATGTACGTCCTATATCCGTTTAGCAATACACTCCTATGATCTTAACTAGGGTTGAAGAATTAGAAATATGTTTTACATATTACAAACATTGTTATGTGTAATTTAAATGTGCCCGAGGCATTGTGTTAAATGATGTTGAAATATTTGTTCCCAAAATTATTTGGGCAACCAATGTCATTTGGGCCAGTGCTTCAAATGTTTTACTTGCCCAAAAAATTAATTTGGGGCCAGCCAATGCAGATTCCCCATGCCACTATCCTTTATTGATCATGTTTACTTTTGAAACTGATCAGTTAAACGAAATGGCCTGCCGACAGCCATCTTCGATTTTTGACATTGTAGGTTTGTTAGTATACTGTATTTCTCAGGAATAATTGAGGGATCTTTCTCAAATTTGATATGTAGGTTCCCCTTGATCCCTCGTTGTGCATGTTATATTTTGAGACTGATCATAAAAACAAAATGGCTAAAGGAAGAACTAAACAGATCTTTCTCATATTGCAATGATCGATTCTATTTCTATCACATTAAGTTAAGTACTGTAATAATAAATATGTGAAATGACAAACTCACTTTGAAGGTTGGCTTTCATACACATCAGTATTAAGTTTAGATCAAAAGTTACCTCAAGGTGCATTTACTGTTAACATGATTCGATCAAACAGATTAGAGGAAAGAAGAGAAAAGATTGAACTGACAAAGAACTAATGAAGATAGTACAATGGTGGGCGCCAAGATCCCTATGGGATCTCTTGTCTGTAAATCAGCTTACCCAAATAATTAATATGAATAATTTGATTTTCATTCAAGATAACAGGAGTCATCAGTTTCCAAAATTCTGTGTAGTGAAAACTTGTCAAATTGGTCTTAAAAATTCTAGTTAAAAATTCTTACAACAAAAAATATTTTTAGATGTTGAAAAGTCAAACTTCACTTTTATCAATGGTATAATTGTAGTTTGTAACAATTAACACCTATTCTTTATTGCTGTAATTGATTTTTTCTCCGTAATTTAGCATTGGTTTTAAAATAGCACAAAACTTCTGATACATGATATGACCAAGTTCATCTAAAACTATCATTTTGTTATACTGAAATCTGTTTTCCATCATTGAATGGAGTTGTGTTCGAGGGAGATAAAATTGTTAGGGTTGGAGGTAAAATCTAGGGGCGGTCGGGGTACCTGAAACTTGCAAATTATTTTTTGGCCAAACCCATGTATGTTTTACGGCATGCGAAAAAGAAACCCTGAGCAATTGGATCCATACAAAAGTTTATTGATATTAGATATTTTTTTATAAAATATTAAATGCTGCAAATAAACAAAAGGTAAAACCAGAATTTCTTCCTTAAAATTTCAGAAAATAAGTCTTCAAAATGGCACAAGGGTAAATTGAACAGCCTATTTACAGAAAAAGATAGCAAGCAACACAAGTCTTGCACATAAAAGAAATTTTACATCAAAATAAAACCAAAATAGGTCTAAAAAAATAACAAAGAAGAAATACTAAGTGAATGATATTAGTATTACCGACACATATTTGTAGTATTATAATTAAGTATATAATAAGTAATAAACACAGAGATTAATTAAGTATATAATAAGTAATAAACACAGAGACAAATCTAAATAAACCTAACAGGAACTAGACACTATCCTAATACAGTATAGTACACACAGGAATATTGCAGAATTTGAACATTCAAAACAAATTTGAGATGAAATGAAATCATCAGATCATAATGTTTCAAGAAAGTTTGTCATGATCAAAACCTGAACATTTCTTACGCATGCATAACAGGTATGTCAACATGTTTAATCCACTTTTATAATCTTGAATAGTATAACATTAACATGTATGGCTCCTTTTGTTCTGTGTATGGTTATAGGTACAGGTATATACATGTATAATGTGTTAGTTCACAAATTACATATGATGCTAGATAGCACTTGCAAATGAGTAATACACCCTATAGACACATCAGTTCTGTTACACAAGATTATAAAGGTGTTTTAGCAGTTTTTTTGCACTTAACTACCCCAGCTGCCAAAGATTTAAAATGCTCAGAGAAATGAATAAATGTATATAAAGCACTTGATACATAATTGAATTACAATGTTTCTTTTGAAATACAATTCCAGTGAAAAATTGTAAAACAGTGTTTTTTTGCTATTCCCTAGATATGATAAAAGTGAAAATGAAGACATGAAAAATAATTCTGATGGAATCTAATCATGGCTGTGAGGCTTAGCCAAAGTAGACCAGGCACAGACAGGTTGATGTAAGGACAGCGGCGTTGTAAGAGTGGTCTACCAAGTACGTCACGAAGGAACCTCTTTTGTAGAAGGTATGTGGGATATCAAGGAAAGACCCTACCACGAACAAGGCGAGCGCGACCTTTAGGGCATCAGGAACACTGGTCACTCCCAGAAAGGGTCTGTAACAAATCAGGTAATTTACAAGGTATATGAAGCTGAGGAAAGATGGCCGATAGCTCTGTTCATATTTTCAAATTTTCATGTAGGAGTGATTCCACACAACACCACGTGCGTTGTTAAGATGAACCAGAAGGACGTAAATAGAAATCTTTTCCCACTACATCACCACCCCATTCAATCAATTGTTACCATGATCAAGTTATAATGCATTGTTTTGTATACATGTATATGGAAAAGTGCATAAACCGCTTTGTGGATTTATGCAAAGTGCACAGATTTTTCTTTATATACCATAAAACGCCAAAAATGACCATGGTTCTTCCTTAAGTAATTATTTTTTGAGGAAAAATGTTAACATGTCAACTGTCACTTAATATAACACCTACGGATCTTAATGCAATATTTAGCTACAGCAACGGTAACCAATTAAATACACCAACAGAAATATCTGATAATCTGTCTGTTTGTATGGGGATGTTTTGAAAAGGACTAATATATGAATTGCACTGTCAGGTCTCAGTCTAATATATTTACCCCACAAAGTAGTGAAGAATGGCCACCAGAACCGAATTGGAGCAAATGGTAAGAGGCAATGCAGAAGGACTTTTGCTTTCCTGAAGCTGCTGTAACGACTCTCCAGGGAAGGTTGCTTTCATCCAAAGCTTTCCCAGGCCAAACGGGGAATACCACAGAAATCCAAAGAATATATTCAACCCAACTGATGCTATAGCTCCCCAAACCATTTTCACTGTCAAATAAAAAACGGATCAATATTTATCGTTTAAGTATCTCTAGTCAACATATGCATGCAGCAATCAATCTTATGTTCCAGCTGTTCCAATTCTGGTTGTAGAAATACAGGAATTACTGAAACTTAACATGACTAATCAAAGTGTTTGCAATAATTCAGTTGAAAAATAAATATGAAACATAAAGCCGCCATATTGGATTTTTAGAGTTACGTCCCTTAAATCGGAGTAAAGACACTTCCAGTTTCTCATTACACACGTGTACACGATACTGGCGGTATCTATTATCAGGGATGCTGTTCTCTAAAATTCAGAATGTAGAAGTTGTTTGTTGTTATAATTAGTAACGATAGGATGTTCTCTGTGATGTGTTACAGATTAGTCATCATCAGACATTGCAATCGTCCATGTATATCAGTTTATTTGTCGGTATGCCATAGGATTTGTTTATGGTTGGGTCATACATAATACTATATTCAAACCTGACCACGCAATATACATAAAAATCGTCTGGTCCTAAGGAGCTATGTCATCGCAAGGTGCACATTAGTTTTTTATTCATAAGTCTACAAATAAAATAAGCAATAAACACATTACATAGATAAAGTCACACAGAAATATATAATGGATCCAGGATAGAACCACGCCCACGTTGGTAGCGTCTGCTAGCTAAAGGTTCTGCAACTAATGAACTATCTACTCGCACGTCAACTTTATCGGAAGTTTTATTTAGTTTGCTGTATAATAAATAGCAGCTAGTTCACATTTGGTACCTTCCTTACTTAGCCCCTTTTTTTGAGAAAAAAAATGAGAGAATCAATTCTCCATATAAATAAATCTAGAGTCATGACACCAGGAACGTCAATCTCCCCAATCGGATCTCCAAACCATCATTGTACTAAATCATTGAAAAATCTGAGGAGGAATTATATTCATTTATGGTTGTATCAAACGAAGAATATAGATGGGTGTTCTTACAAACGAAATTAGCACCCGGGGCTCCCTTGAGATATTTATAGAACGCTCTGAAGTCACCTATCAGCATCTCTGGTTTTTGCGAATGTCAGGATACAAATCGGATCAAGGCTTGAATTATGCAGTATCTTACGCTTCAAATGAGTATCTTTTGTCAGCATATTAACATTCTATGATGACCTTTAGAATTTATATGACAAAAAGTATTTCTATAGTGCGAATGTATTCCTATAGTCCCAAACATCATGCATAGTCGTCGCACGCGCCATTTTTTAAAAACGTGATAAAAACAATGACATTTGAGTTTGAATTACATTTTCTTGTGCTATTTGAACTTAAAAACTAAACATCTCTAGACAAAAAATGGTGCATGGCTATCTTTTCTAAGACTACATCATTATTATAACTGATTTGTTACACATTTATTTACTTATAAGTATTTTTGCAAAAAGTGATCCGATTTGGGTACTGACCCGATTTGGATACTGCCTCCTTACAGGCTGCTGTTAACGTTGTAAACTACGTGCAATAACTATAACATATCAAAAAAGTTGTATAAAATGTAATAAATAGAGAATAATACATGCTTTTTTCCATATCACACCCAGTATCACCCCGAGACTGCAATATCAGCCCAAGGGCCGAAGGCCCGAGAGCTGATATTGGTCGAGGGTTGATACTGGGTGTGATATGGAAAAAGGCGTGTTATATTCTGTTTATTACATACTTACTAATAAAAACTACTATCTTTTGATTTATTTTTATTTTTGGGATTTTGAAAAACGATTTTTTTCCCAAAAGGGATGTGATATGGGTTTTGCGGGCTGATACAGATTTTGGGGTGTGATACGGCGGGGGCTGATACAGGTTTTGGGGTGTGATACGACGAGGGCCGATATGGGTTAGAGCAATTGTGTTGTATCGCATATACAACCAAACCCGTATTTATTAGTAAGCATGCAATAAAAGTATATAATGATTACAATGACGTATTATATATCACACACAAATTACATTAGATAGCGTTATATCTTGGAGACGGTGAACACTCGACGATCGCTTCTACTGTATCAATAGACGCCTAACTAAACCGGAAGTTGCTTTACTCCGGGCGCCACCGTCGCTTTGCAAAGTGCGATAACACGAAAATAGGTTATGTTGTTACATCTTCTGAATCGCGAAGAATTATTTTGTCGATTTCCTAACAAAATAAACATTTTTTAAGAATGAAACGTTACCACAACCTGTTTAATGCATATACCAAAGTAAAAACCTAGTTATTTGCTGAAAATAATTCCATATTTTGCTACCATCTATGTCGTGAAAAAACATGTATGGCGTAAATTAGTGTAATTTTTTTTAAATGATACTTTACCTCAACATGTTAAATGAGTATACCAATGGAAAAATCGAAATATTTCGTGGATATAACACTTACAATTTGCTAGGCCTATGGCGTGCAAAAACTCCTATGGCGTACCTAATGGCGCTAAATCTCCTATGGCGCAAATTAGTGAGACCCGCTTGAACTAGCTTTCAACGATGCCACATCAGCAAATCAGACTCAACTCTGTCACTAAATATGACCTGCCGTCAGAATACTGATTAGAGGGAAAGGCAACAGCTGCCTCTTCGGCAGATGAACTGCGCGAGAATTTACGTACTTTGAGGGGATAAACGACCGCCGCTTCAATCATCAAAGAAATTGATTGCCGTTCAGAAGTGATACATTTTGGGTTATCCTGTACCGTTACATTGTCCGGAGTTATCTAAGTCCGTGACCTTACTTACCCTTTTAGCTTTCTTTACTTTCCTCAAGATTGTCTGTTTGTTTATTTACCTTAGTGTTTCCCGCCAAAACAATGCTTTATTAGTTTTTCGAAATTTACAATATGTAACGAAACAAATCTATATTAAATGACAACAATAAAATGTTGAAAGCCACAAATAAACTAAATTGCATTATTTAATACGATTTCATATACCAAGTATCCAAATATATTAAAGTATTTGTGTTTTCTTGAATATATTTTCATATTTCGTTTTGTACAACATTCGAGGTATTTACAAAAAAAATCAAAATGGAGAGCACGCGTTTGCTGAGGGGAGCCACAGATGTAATAGATGTGAGGGATTTTTTTGAGAAATGGGATTCGTCTGTGATGCCATGCCTAGGAATGGACGAGACATCACAGTATTCAGAAAAAGATGCAATCGCAAAAGAAATGGATATTTCTATAGACACGGTTGTGGAATTGAACTCGGTTTGTGGGTAATGCTACTTATTGTCTACTTTCACTTTACATGAAAAAATGCCATCTCAATGGAGAACTAAGTCGGTGTTAGGTTTATCATATTCAAAGAAGGTATACATCAGAGCTAACCATTTTTGTACACAAACTTAGTCGATTGTGTCATTTAAGGTACATATAACAGTTATAACATTTCAATTTGTTTCCTCATACCGTCAAAAAGAGAAAGGATGAAATGTAATAGTAAATGGTGAAGTCACTGTCAACATTCTACGCTTGGCTTCAAGTTGTTTAGGCCTAACAAAAAATAAACAAGTTTCCTGTAATAAACTAACATACATGTATAAAAATCCAGGTATGACAAATAATTCAGAATTCTACAATATACCAGAAGGTATATGTCCAACAACAAGAGGGGTGTGATCATATTCACCGAATCTAAACTACAAGCAATAACAGTCAAACCAATGGTCGTTTTTCAGAACAAGTTTGGTGCAGTATTGATCTCGAGAACAGCGACAATATCCTAATTGAACCCATCTATAGAAGTCCAAATCACAAGGACATCAATTGGACAACCAATACAACATCAGTATCAGATCAACACCTGGCTACACATTTTTTAGAATGCACAAGAAATGAATTCTTCTACCAACATGTTACCAAACCTACTAGAATTAGAGAAGGTAATCAACCCACCACCTTAGATCTTGTTTTTACCAATGAGGAGGGAATGCTAAATGAAATAAACTATGAACCCAGACTTGGACTAAGCGATCATCTCTCTCTGAACTTCGAGCTTTGTCTATATACTGAAAATGTTACCAGCAAAGTAGAGAGATTGAATTACCATAAAGGCGACTACACAAAGATCAGAGAGAAAATCAAAGATGTCAACTGGCCAGATATGCTGTCTGTTAAAAATGTAGATGAGTCATGGAAGGTCCTTGCAGGGAACACATACCAGTGAGCAAGATAAAAAATGACAAGTTTACCCTTAGAACACCACTTGACAGGGAGGCAGTACATGCTATTAGGCACAAGAAAACCAGATGGACAAGGTACCTTCATCGTAAAGAACAAAAAGAACTGGAATGAATACAAAAAAGCTAGAAACCAAGCTTTGAAACAAATTAGAACATCAATATACAATTATGAAAGGAGCATGGCCATGGACATCAAATCAAATAGCAAGACATTCTGGAAATACATAAGGTCAAAGACCAAGACTAAAAGTACAATTGGAAATATCAAAGACGCCAATCGTGACTTGACATCTAACAATAAAGATAAAGCTGAGATCATGAACAACTACTTCACAAGTGTATTCACTGTCGAAACAAATGAGCCACTACCAGTGTTCAATAGAAGAAACTATCTGGAACCAATCAACGATATTGACATCACGGAAGACAAAATACTATTGGCAATAAGGCTACTAAATCCAAATAAGGCAGGAGGTCTCGACCTATTCCATCCGAAACTACTATTAGAGTCGGCTAACGAGCTTGTCATACCAACCATCATCTTCTTAAAAAATGTCTGAATGAGGGAAAACTACCTTAGGATTGGAAAAATGCCATTGTGACCCCCATACATAAACCAGGATAAAAAACTAGCCCAGAAAATTACAGACCAATCAGCTTAACATGTAGTTCTTGGAAAATTAATGCAAAGAATCATCAAGGATGCCATTGTGGATCATATTGACACCAACAATCTTTTCTCCAAGTGTCAACACGGTTTCACTAAGGGAAAATCTTGTGTTACCCAGCTACTAGAGGTTCTTGAAGATTGGTCAGAACAAGTAAACAATGGAACCCAGATAGATGTTATATACCTTGACTTTAGCAAGGCATTTGACACTGTCCCTCACAAACGGCTGCTGTTTAAATTAGAACAATATGGGATCCAATGGATAAAAAAAAATCCAAGCGGGATGAAGCAAAAGGTAGTGATTAATGGTGAAATATCAAATACCAGGAATGTAACTAGTGGTGTCCCACAAGGCCTTGTCCTAGGACCTCTTTTAATCCTGATATGTGTCAACGATATGCCGGAAGTCGTACAATCCATAGTTAACTATTTGCTGATGATACAAAGTTATACTCAGGAATTTTGAACGACGATGATAGGAATACTCTTCAGGACGATATCCACAGATTATGTGACTTGACAAAAGTCTGGAACATGAAACTAAATGGAAAAAAATGTAAACACATGTCAGTAGGAAATCAAACCATAGACTCGGCTTATACAACAAAAAATGGACAAATTGAAGTAACCATTGATAAAGTGATCAAAGAAAAGGATTCGTCAGTAATATTTGACCATAAACTAAAATTTTACTGATCATGTCAACTAGTGTGTCTCCAAAGCCAACAGAATCCTCGGACTAATATTTCGGACATTCACAGAAATTTATAAACAAAGACATGTGTATTCAATTGTTTCAAAGCTTAGTGCGGCCACACTTGGAATATATGCCACCTGCATATGGTCTCCAATGTTCAAAAAGGATCAAATTGCCATTTAAAATGTCCAACGCAGGGCAACAAGACACCTTCCATTCCTAAAAGGAAAATCCTACAGTGAGAGACTTTGTATGTTGGGTCTCCCCAGTTTAGAATATAGACGATTGAGAGGAGACGTCATACAAATGTTTAAAATCATGTATGACATTGACATTCTGGACAAGGACAAAATTATTAAAATGGCAACGTTGGCTACAACAAGAGGAAATTCCAAAAAACTCTTCAAGAGAAGGATGAGGCTCAATGTAACCAGGAACCTGTACAGTGGTAGGGTCGTGGAAGTGTGGAACTCTCTCCCAAATACAGTTGAAGAAGCCCCCTTCCTAAATAGTTTTAAATCTCGGTTAAACAATCACTGGCGTCATCATCACCAAAAATTTGTACCAACATGTTACTCCCAACCGAACATGATTAGAGAACAGTATATATAGATGCGTACCAAGAAGCTAGATCAGCTTGCATCGACATTGACACTACATGAAAACTACATCAAAACTGTTTGAAAAATTGGGGTAGATAGGTAAATGGTGACAAATTTTACTTTAAAAATTACTGAACAGCAAAATTTAGTATACACTTTTGAAATAATGTATTGTTGCTAAACATAACATTTCTTGCAAAACCAATGTTATATTGGTGGAATCCCATCATTCCAAAGGTAAGAAATCCAAATACCACAGTAAATTTGTTGGACATTAAGTTCAGATCATTGGCTTCCATACATTTTATACCCTAAGCGTGTATAAACGGCGCACTGAAGTAATGTGCATGCAAATTTTGCCTCGTGATCAGGTAAGCTTCCCTTGCAAAGGCTGCCAGGTTTGAATGTGACGGCAATGTGGGTATACTTTCAATAATGGATAGAAATTGTGCGATAGGAATGCTGCAAGCCGGGGCAAAGAAGTGAGTGTTCAATTGCACAAGATTTACGATTTAGTGCCTTAATTGCAGCGTTATCAATGACTAGGACATGTAAAACAACTCACTGGAGCGGGACGTCGACGTGAAACGGCACCTCGTCAGGATTGTTACATACTTAATAGAGAAATGGTGTTGAAACCAAAACAACCTATAGTGTTGTCCATGAGATAACGCTGTGTGGCAGAACGCTGTGTGGCTGTGTAGTTAACAACAATGGCGGACATGCACGATAGTGACGTCAAAAGTGTGTTTTAACTGTGTATAGTTGGGATGTCAAAGTCGCATGAAAAATTGAAATAACCCCTACGTCGTTCTGTAAGACTATGCCTTTTTGGTTGTTGACGGCAGTCCTGATTCTGTGTAAAATGTTCTTTAAACAGTGGTTCTTTGAAAATTGACTAAAAAGGTTAGGGTAGACACACAAAAAAAGGGTTATAGGTAGGGTATGTTACCAGAAACACAACCTATGTTTTGTTCTGCCTTAGTCTTACGTTTAGTTATATGAGTAATCAAGTAGTAACAGCTACTCAATCATAGCCCTAGCCCTAGTTACTTGTAACTTGTCTTGGATTAAAAACAATCCAACATTCAACATTGCCTACCAGGTGTTTTTCCTCCAAATGGAGATATTGGTTTTATTCTCTTTTAAATTTGGAAATTTTACCTGTATAATAATACCACCATTGCTCTGGGCC